ACCTTGTTTAAATTTTAATTTCTGGGTTGACATTTTATCGAAAACATCACTATCTCTCTAAATAACAGCAAACGTGAGTTCCTTCTCTTGTCACGGTCCAGCTAGTTCGCTGAACCGCTCCCACTTTGACTGTGCAGGGGCTTTTCTGCCCGGAGTGTGTCTCTGTTTTTCACCAAGACAAGTGGTCTTTAGGAATTGAATTATTTTAATCTATTTGTAAATCAGAGTGTATCGACAGGGGCTGGCTGAGGATGTAGGCTGGCCAATCAGAGGGCAGTGCCCCTCTCATAACGATGATGATGAGTATGGCGATGATAATTAATGAGTATGGCGATGATAATGAGTATGACCCTCATGATGCGGATACGAGGTGAGAGCTTGTGAACTGTTAGGGAGCACTTCCTATGTGCCAAAAGAGCCCTAGTGGCACAGTGGGTTGTACTTTAGGCTATTCACCACAAGGTCTGCAGTTTGAAACTACCAGGAGCTCTGAGGGAGCAGGATGAGGTTGTCTACTCCCAAACAGATGTATGCCTGAGAAGCCACAGGGGCCATCCTCCCCTGCTGTATCAGGTTGCGGTGAGTCGGAATCACTCGCTGGCAGTGAGTCTGGTTTGCATTAGGTCCTAGAGGTCAAGTCCAGGACTGAGTGTTTTCTTTTGCATTATTTCACGGCACTTTCCCACATGCCACCAGGAAGCCATGAGTCCCGTGTCATTTTCCAGATGACAAAAGGGATGCTGAGAGGTCGCTGGGCAGCAGAGAAGGCAGGGTGCCATCATCCCTCCTTCTAGAGCCGTGTTGACAGTGGCAGGCACCACTGGGACATCAGAGGGAAAGGACATAGCAAGTCTTTCTACACTCGTATTTATTTAGGTTTTCCAGGTAGGTGGTTGTGTAAAGTTCATGGTCCTTCAGAGAGGACACTTGAGCTAAATGTGGGAAGCAGGGGAAGGCTTGGACATGTGGAGAAAAGGTCAGGAAATATGCTTAGGAAAGACCAGAATGCTAGAGGTATGTTTGGCCATCATTGACTCAGCCAGCAAGGGAGCTGAGAAGTGGTATGCAGGACGAGGCAGAGAGCGGCTGGGGTCAGTTCTTGGAGGGCCTTGGATTTGAGAGGATATTGATCCTTTTCCCATGGGCGGAGAGGAGTCTCAATCAAGGGAGTGACTACATGGGAAATCCCACTTAGACTATTCCAGCAGAGCAGAGGAGGAAAAGTGGAGGAGGGAAAGCAGGACGGAAGGAACCCTGGTAGCGCCATGGTTAAGCATTCACCCAATAGCCAAATGGTTGGAGGTTCAAACCCAACAGAGGCTCTGTGGGAGAAAACACTTAGCGACCAACTCCAGAAAGAAATGTAGGCTAGGAAATCCCCGGATGGAACTCTGCTCTGTCTGATAGGGTCCCTTCAGGGTGACTAAAGGACCACTTTGAGTTGGAAGGGACTCCATGGAACATACCAACAACCCCAGGCAGGAGGTAGGGAGACCAGCGAGGAGGCTGTGGAATCAACCCTTACTGACTCAGTAGCCTACCTGTGCTGGCCCAATGGCTGGTGTGGGGTCCAAACCTTCCCACCTAGGACTCCCAGGTGACCAAACTTGGCCTTGTGCTACCCTCAGATGGCTCTCTGCTGCCCCCACCTGGTCCAGTGGGTCCCTGCACAGTTCACTTCCAGAGCCCAGATGATCCAACCCAGGGTTAATCACACTACTATGGATCCACCAGCTGCAAAGACTCCTGGCCCAGGATTCAGAGCCCAGGACCTTCTCTGTTCCAGGCGCTGCCCATATCGGCGTGGATGGAGTCGCTCATGCTTTGTAAGGAACGTTTGCAGTGGGTGCTATTACTTCCATTTCCCAGGTAAGTTGACGAGGCACTGATCTCTCCTATCCCTGAATCATGTGCTATATGGGTTTGTCCAGGAGCCCATTAAAGGACTGGGGCTCTTGCAGCAGAACCATTTCTGTGCTGGTTCTGTGGGAGAACCTGGCCAGGGCCCAAGAGAGGGCACTGCCCATTCAGGGGCAATCAAGGTGTGACAACTTCAGGGAGGTGATCTGTCCTGGGGAGGTCAAGGAAGGGTGATCCTGATGATAGCTCTGAGATATGGGGTCAAAGGGTTATGTGGGAAATGGGAAGCTCCGGGAGGCAGAAGCAGAACCAGCCAGAAGCAGCACAAAGCAGTTAGTTCCAGGGCTGTGACGTGTGAGTGGGTTTAGGGCTGGCTTTTTGGAATGCAGACTTCTTGAAGCAGCCACGATTCTGACTGCTCTCAGTTACCTCTCAACCTTGACACTGTGTAAGGCGAATGCTCTGGCTCTTAGAAGGTTTCTGGTGAGGACTCACGATCTTTCCTAGGAGGGAAACCTGCTGGCATCTTTCAAACTGTGAGCAGAGCCCTGAGGAGATGGGACATCGAAGAGGTCAGATTCTAATGGAGGCACAGCGGGGGCGAGAAGAGCCAAGGCTGGGAGCAGCTGGCAGGCAGTAGGAGGGAATAGCCCAGAGAGGGTGCCAAATGCAAGCTTCTCCACTTCTCAGTGTTGCCCGAGGGCAGCTCCAGGCAAAAAGAGAACGTGCCTATGAAACAATTCTCAGGAAGGCTGGCAGGAGTAGGTGAGGAGTACCTTGCCTCAGTGAAGTGCATCCTGCTAAGCTGGAGGCTTCTCTGGGACCAGCTGAGGCTATGCGCAGGCTGGCTCTTCAGGAAGTGGAAGGCCATGGCTGGGTGTGAATGACGGGAACGTGTGTGTGCATGCGTACATTCTCAAGGGCACAACTTCTTCGGGTCCTCACTTTCCCAAATGGCTTGCTGCCTCTGGCTGGTGGTGAACACAGCAGATGCTGACCCACCTCCCCAGATGAAAGGATGTGAACACCACAGGGAAAGAAAATGTTCAGGGAGTGTTCCATTCATGTTGACAAGAAACAGAGAGCACTCGGAGATCAGACGGACAGAAGAGTTGCCTGTGAGTCTGTGCCACGTGTATCAAAGGAACTGTGCGCCACTGGGCTTTCACTGGCTGATTCCTTGGAGTCAGATCACCAGGCCTTTCTCCCGCGGTGCCTCTGGGTTGCCTTGGACCTCCAGCCCCATGCTTAGCCTTCAAGCACATGAACCATCTGCCTCGCCCAGGGCCTCCTCATTGAAAGAAAAGACAGGTTTGTTGTAAGCATGTGTGCAGACCAGAACTGAAGCTTGCTTGCCCTTCAAGCCATGAAAGTTCTGGGGTTCCACAATTTCCTGGTCTCATGCTCTTCTCTTATCTGCTCTAGCCAGATCCCAAGGTCAAGAGAATTATTGTCTCCTATCCATTCCAGGGTTATTGGCTCCAGGTTTATGCTCCAGGTTAAGTTGTAGAAGGAGTCCCGTGTGTTTGGCTGAGTTTATCACTATTGCTCCCACTGAAAAGCTTCATGGGGATTATCTGGCCAGTAGACAAGCCATGTTAGATGGGATGTCTGACCCTGAACCAATCAATGGTCACCTGTATTCAGATCAATTATGCCTGCTTCCCTTGGCAGGGTGCAGATGGATTGGTTTTGCAAAGAAGAGGATGGAGAAGCTGGGTGTGACAGAAAAGATACACGCAGGGCAGGAATGCATCTGATTCGTTAGATGCATTATCTAACAAGTTATCCCAGATAGAGTGAGGAAAGGCAGAAACCAGAGGCACGTGCACAGAAAGTGAAAATGTACTTTGTGGAATCACAAAAGCTAGAATGGAAGCAGACCTTCAAGAGAACCTAGGCAAGCGCCCTTTTTTACAAACGGGGGGGGCGCTGCACACTGGAGAGGAAACCCACGGGATCACAGGCCAGTTTGTCCTTCATTACCCAAAGGCTCTTCTGTCCTTCACACTTCCCCTCTGGAAGAAGCGATTTCTCAGCCAACCTCTTTCTAGCTAAAGGACAGACCCGAATGGCTACTGGGATCCACTGGTCAACAACACACATCCGAAGGACATACGGTTAGGAATTCAGTGTCAAAAGAGCAACCCACAGGGTTAAAGGACAAATTAGAATTACATTTTGATTAAATATTTGAATGAGGAATGGCTTTGTAATCTTAACTAATGTAAGTGCAACATGAGACAATTGTTCGATTGGACTATATCACACTAGAAGATGTTTGGATGTGGAAACTCAACACATCAATTAAAAGGGAAACAGTGTTACAAATGTCAAAGGATTAATAGCCTTCCTGCGTGGAGACTTGATAAAAATGGATAAGAAAAACACACAGTTTTCAGGAGAGAATGGGGAGAAGTTGTGAACATTCTTTCATGGAACAAATAGGAGAGAGCTCTATGATTAATCAGTACTTGAACAGTGTCTCAGCTACACTAATCAGAGCAATAACAATTACATTAGCAGCTCGAGGCTCCTCCCTTTTTTCCCCATCAAAATTAGCGAAGATGAGAAACAAGAACGCAGACACGTGCAAGCACCAGAGAACAGGCCGCTCCTACATCGCAGAGAGGGGTTCACAATGACCCACCCTTCTAGGAAGATCATTTGCCAACAAGTATCTGAAACTTACCATATGGAAATAATTAGAATTCAAAGATCTTCATTAGAGCCTTATCTAGTATCGTGAATAATTAGGAAAGCTTGTCGCACCACAACGGAGACATCATTAGAATTCAACCATGGTTCCTCCATCCATGGGCTGATGAAGTTCTTCCCAGTGCCCATCACCATGCAGCAATGCTAACAGCACGGTGTTAAATCACAGCGCTGGATACACACCTGTGTGGTGATGCTCGTGCCTGCAGATGCGAGCTCATGCTGACTCTATGTGTGAGAGGTTAGAAGGGTCCCCCAGCGTTTCCTAGGCTAGAATCCCTAAAGGAGCGGACAGCTTCATTTTACTCCCACGATGCAACTGGGTAGGTTGGACTGGCTAACTCTCTGGTGAGCAGCTGGAGGTGTAGCTACTGTGCCGCGGGAGCCTGGGGACCCAGTGTGAATACAACCCTGCACAAAGAGACACCACAGAGGCCTCATTCTAAAATGTCAATGATACAGAGTCGGTGGGCATGGCCCCTGCACAGAATGTGACACGCACGTTTGTGAAGGATTCCATATTTTTAAAAGGAACAGGGCAAAACCAAAAGAGACACAATTCAAAAGATCAACAGCACGTGTGTCAAACTACATGCGTGCCATCTGTCGAATGGACAATTCTGGGGCCTTCTCTTCAATCAAAATGACCGTGCACAGACACATGACCCTGTAAATTAAACAAACTGAATCAGAAACCATGGCATCAGGCTAAATTTGAACTAGAACACACAAATCAAAGGGGTTGAGAGAGTTCCCTAACCCTGCTGGGTGGGGTGGTCGGTCCTGTGACTGGGCCTCCAGCCTCCATTCACTCTGTCTCCCACGTTGTGCTAGGGTTCTGGAGAGTTCTCTTCTACCACCATCTAGAAATGTATCAGGATTGAGGGAAACCAGTCCGTGTCACCCCTCATCCGTAGCAATCTGGTTCGGGTAACCCTGGCGCATGCCAAAGCCTCTTCTGAGATGTCCGTCAAATGTGTATAAAGTGTATACTACTTGTGGAATTCCTTCGAATGTGTATAAAGTGTGTACTTGTGGAATTCCTTCGCTCCCTTCCAGGTACGAATATGGTGCATGTGGTCCCAATTGCATCTGTGGTTGTCTTGAAATTTTAAGAGAAACAACCTATAGGCCAACCCAATAACAAGGGCTTGGGGATAGGGAGGAACTGGGTGGCTAGAGACTCCCCGCCCTGTTCCCCTCAGGGTTTCTCCTTTGAGCGAACCTGTTTATAATGCATTTAGTTGGTTGGCAGCTGCTTGCTTCTATTGTTCATTGCTATCTTGAGAATTCCTGACACACTGTAAAGGGCATGACCCAAGGACATGTCATAAAACTACACGAGAAGGAAGACATGAGTTTAACTTTGCCCTTTGGAGAAAAAGGCCTAGAAATAATTCTATCAGGAAGAGGTGGAAGGGACCCAGGGGCAGAACACCTCTTCAGAGACAATGACTGGCACAGCACATCACAATGACAGCTCGGCTCAATAGCCCGATGGTCCTGCTAAACCACGCGGATTGGAGGAAGTAAAAATGAACTCTTCAGGCAGAGAGGGATGCATTTGTCCTCTTGACCTGCTCAAAAGGCTTGAGATGGCTTGGCCAATCATCTTGACTGAACCCTGATGGGACCACAGGCACATAACCCAGTGGCATGTGTCAGTGGTTCCTGCCCCTAATCACTGATCCCATCGACAAGTACCCAGCTAGGAACGGAGGCAGAGGAAGCTTTGCAAGATCTCGGTGGTCCCTGGTTTTGTATTTGAGAAAGAAAATCCTCAGCTTATCCAAGCAATTCTCACTTTGAAATTAAATATGAGTTGCTGTCAAGGTTTATGTGAAGAATTGAAAATAAAACAAAACAAAACAGATCCTATTTGATATGAAGGCTTCCAGGAGATTTCTTCTATCTGGTAGATGCTCTACTACGCCACACAGCCATTCGACTGTTCATTCAAACTTCTGTTCATTCAACAAATATTTACTGGGACTTACTGTGAGCCCTGCATGGTGTTTGGGCTGAGAATTTTCAAATGAATAGAAGGCATGTATTTAATATGGTATAGCTGGGCTGCAATCCACATGGTTGGCAGTTTGAAACCACCAGCAGATCCACAGGAGAAAGACTGTGCTTTCTACCCCATTGAAGTTACAGTCTCAGAAACCCATAGGGGGCCACTTTGAGTCAGCCTTGAGTTGATGGCTGTGATGCCAGTACCTTCATAAGAATTTGAATCTATGTATTGCATTCCATTTACTGAAAGAGTGCTTATCATTTCAATTTTACTGATGAGGAAACTAGGGATCAGACAGCTACTTGCCCAAAGTCACGGAGCCACTTAGAGACAGAATCAGCACTCACACCAAGAGCTTGCACACCCTTCACCCTCTGTCAGTGGGAGAAAGGAAACCCAAAGCATGGCTCGTCTCCCATGGGATCAGTGTGGTCACAAGGGGGTATTCATGGCGCCAAGGAAGCCAGGGAGGTTGCTCCCGGTTTTGTTGGGGGAAGTTTGAAAGACGCCTTGAGATGGATCCTAAGAGATGGTGAGCAAAGGAGTAGCGGGTAGGGAGGAAGTGTACTCCGAGCAAAGACCAGATGGGCACATGTGTGGAAATGGGCATCAGCATGGTGTGCCTGGCTCAGGGGAACACACCAAGTCCAGTGGGACTGGGGAAGCCATCCATGGGGCAGCAGCAGCAGCAGCAGCTGCAAAGATGAGAAATCAGAGTTTTATTCGGGAAGCTAAAAAATTTCAGCTTGAACTTGCAGCCTGGGGGCACACAGTCAGATTTGTTTTATAATGATAACCAGTGTGCTGGAGTGTGTGTGTGTGTGTGTGTGTGTGTGTGTGTGTGTGTGAGAGAGAGAGAGAGAGAGAGAGAGAGAGAGAGAGAGAGAGAGAGAGAGATCCAAGCGAGGAAGACCAGATGCACAGCAACGTGTTGGAGGAGGCTTTTAAACAAAATCCCAGGCACAAAACTGAAGAGGACTTGTACTATACAAGCCCCTCCCTGACAAGCATTAGAAGTTACCTCCCACCCGGAACTCGGTGTTTCTAGAGTCAGGGCTGCAAATGGAGAGGCAGTGTAATCTCATGTAGAGAGCTTTGGCCTCAGACCCTTCTGCCTGCAGACGCAGCCTCTACCGACTTACCCAGTCATGTTAGCCTCTGGGCCTCACTTTCCTCGCGTGCAAACATGGAATCAGACCTAACTCATAGATTCCTGGGGGATTAAAGGTAGTAATTTATGTAAAGTGCCTCCCATAAAAAAAATCAATAAATGGCCATTCCCTTCTTCTTCCCTTCATACTAGGAAATGACAAATTGGTGCCCATAGAGTTGTTACAAGACCTGCCGCGTACTCACAATTTCCAAGGTTGAATAAAAACATTTAGCCTTCTGACCTCAGAATATTTTTTACAACATTGATTTATTAAATTGATTAATTTTAGTACCTTTTAGAAATCACTCTCGTAGTATTAGACAGCACAAAATAAGCTATGTTACAGTGACAACGAACTAGGGGTTCTCCCCTGCTTAGCAATCCGAAAGTTTATCTTTCCTCATTTACATGACCAGCACCAGTCCTCAGGAACCTTATTCTGATTCAGGGACCCAGCTGACAAAAGCCCTGCTATCTTGCCACTGCACATTTTGGAAAGCAAGATTCCCAAGAGCCCAGCAGGAATGGGAGAGAGAGGTGGAGGAGGAAGTGCACAGGTGTACAACTGCCTTGAATTGCAAGTAATGCCTGTCACATGCACTCCTAGTCCATTGTTCTGAACTAGCTACCCCCATCATCACCACCTTCACTGCCACCACTTTCATGACCACCAGCATCACCACCAGCATCACCACCACCACCCTCACCACCACCGCATTCATGACCGCCACCTCCACCGCCAGCTGGCATGGAATGGATTCTAACTGCTGGGGCCCCTGGGTAGCACAGTAAACCTATGCTTCCTAGGGTTTTCAAGAGCTGAGTTTCCGAAGATCATCAGGCCTTCTCCCTAGGCTTAGTCTGAAAGCTCCACTGAAACGCACCCACCATGGTTGGCCTTGCTGTGGCATTGCTTCCAGCATCATAGTAACATCCGAGTCATGGTTTGAGTTCCCTAAACGACCAGTGTCAATTCTGTGTCTTTAGCATCTTGGTTTACATCGCTCACCATCTTCCTCACCAAACCTGGAAGAGAATGAAGGAGGGGCTGCAGTTAGAAAGATGTGGAGATGTGTTTTGAGCTCAATTCTCCTATTTGTAAAATGGACATACTATCTCACAGGATGAAACGAGACAAGGTAATACAGTGCCTCTCTGAGGGTCTGGCATATTGTAATTACTGAAACAACCCTAGGATTACTTTTCCTTTCCCAAGCTCATTTTTATTGATTAGGAATGCTGAAACAGGAAGAAGCCAGGCACCGGGAACCTTAAGACTCCTACTGCATAGTTGCCAGCCTACCTGGGTGCTTGGCAAGTATCTCACCACTTGAAAGAGCTCATTCTGAAAGTCAGATGTTATGATAAAAAAAGTGGGAGGAAATACTATTGACTTATTTCCTGGAGAAAGAAAAAACTTACTGCCCCAACAAAGATGTTTCTAGAGAGTGGGTTGGTTTTGATAAATAATTAACTTGAGTTGCTTGAATTGTGTCTGGAGGAGTAATTACAACAGCATGTTCACGCCCCTCGAGCTGGGCTGTTGCCACATTTTCCACGATAAAATCTCCTTTGAAAAAATGTGTTCAGAGACTTGGCTGCAAAATAGTGCTCTAGTCTGAAGAAGGCTGTGAAAACTTGCACAGCTTATGGACAGTATTTTCAATTGGTCTAAGGGTATCAAAAGATAGTCTATTGTTTCCAACTGGCCTCAATTAAACCAAGGTGCAGGAGATCGCACTGCCTTGGGAAGCAATTCATGGCCACCAACAAAGGAGGACGCCCCTCCTGTTGTCCTATCAGTGATGTGGTGCCACTGAGCAGTCCCTGAAGACACGGCTACCCTGTCCTATGTCTCATTCTTTTCAAAGTGCTGGAGCTGGGGAGTGGTGGCCAGAGCAGGCACCTCCTGGTTTGATTCTGGAGACATCCTGTGAGCCTCCAGACTTCATTCCCTGCGTTCTTTGTCTTGTCTCCCAATTGGATCCAGAACATCCAGAGGAGAACTTTGAGAGGGAACCGCTAGAGAGAGAAGGAGATTGGACTTCTGGATCACTGCTGAAGACTCCTTTCCAAATATCAAACTTGACTCTGATATGGAGAAGAAAGTATGAGCGTATGTGCATGTACACACACATATGTACATAAACAAACAAAACTTAAACTCACTGCCGTCCATTCAATGCTGACTCAGCAACTCTACAGGACATGGGCTTACAAGACTGAAGGGAGTAGAAAGCCTTGTCTGTCTCTCACAGAGCGGCTGGTGGTTTCGAATTGCCAAAGAGGATCGCAGCAAGGCCAACCATGGTGGATGCGTTTCAGTGGAGCTTTCAAACTAAGCCAAGGAAGAAGG